AATGGTACAAAAGTGATGTGCATTTGGCGGAAGCCATTCTTCTGATTTTGAATTTGGAACTTTTCCTAGGCTATGTGCAGTAAGATACTCTGTGATGGTGGACAGCTTAGGATATTTTCAATTTATGATGGTTCTATCAGAACGTAACCCCGTTGTAGGTCAAGGAGCATATATGTATATATAAGCTCACTGATGCTCTGTTCATTTTTAAATTTTTTTTTCTCAATTTGGACAATTTCTATTGCTATGTCTTCAAGTTTGCTAAATCTTTTCTTTTGCAGTATTTAATGCCATCTCATTTAACTTTCATCTCAGGTGTGCTTTTTATCTCTAGAAGTTCAGAATGGGTCGCTTTCATGTCTTCTGTATGTCTCCTAACGTGCTTGCACTCTCCTCCAGCTACTTGAAAATGTGGAAAATGCTTATATTAGCATCTTTATATACTTGTGTAATAATTGTAAGCATCTATGTAGCTTCTGGGTCTATTCCGTGGATCCCTTTTTCTTCTCATTATGGGTTGTACTTCCCTGCTTCTTTGTGTGCCTGGTCAGTTTTGATAGGATGCCATACACTGAATTTTACATTGTGGGGTGCTGGGCTTTTCGTGTTCCTTGAAGTAAGTGATTTTGAGCTTTGTGTGTGACACATGTAAGTCACTTGGAAACAGGTTGTTGCCTTTAGCCCACGCGCACTTTGTTCCTACTACCTGAGCAAAAGCCTCTGAGCGCTTTACCAGATGTCCCATGTGTTGGGACCCTGCACACCCTGTTGGGAAACGGGAATTTTCCCAGCCTTTGTGGGCTCTGAGAGTAGTTCTGCCTCCTCCTGTGAGTGGGGAGTGTGGGGGGTGTCCTCACGTGCACGTACCAATCAGAACTCAGGGGAAGGCTAGCAGAGCCGCTCCAAGTCTCTGTAGCTATCTTTGTCTGAGGGTTTTTCTCTCTGGTATTCTGGTGTAGCTCCTAGAATTTGTAACTCTGTACCCTCACATCAGTTAGACTGTTGGCCCCAGTTTTGGTTGTGGCCTGGAAATGCCCCTGGCTTACTTCATGTCCCTTCTCTTAAGGATGACAGTCCTGCACTGCCTGTTGTCTAGTGTCTGAAAACCACTGTTTCACATATTTTGTCTAATTTTTTAGTTGTTTGAAGTAAGGGCTTAAATCTTATCCCTAATACTCCATTGTGGCCAGAAGCAGAAATCAATAGAAAAAAATAATGACAATGACTCAATTGTACTATTTAAGCTTATATTTGTACTTTTATTGAAATAAAATTCAGCTTAAAATACAAAGAAAACATACAAAATATGAGTAGTCCCCCTTTTTTAACTTTCCTGAAAGTGAGGTCTAAAGAAGTCACCAAGTTGAGTGGAAATTGATCATTGATTGTAAAAGACATAAAAGTTAAAATGTTTG